AGATGTTTCCAAACGCCATTATAAAGAAATTATGGACTTTGGAACCTCCTCTCCAATGTTCACTATACTAGCAACACTTGCATTGCTCAATTTGTTTTGTTTTCTTAGTGTGTTGAAGGATGCAGTCCTAAGGGAAGGTGGTCTTGGAGCTTATGATAAAATGGTGTTGCAAGTTCTATTGTGTGGCTTTCTGGTTCTCATCAATTTGCCTCTTTACCATGGCCTTTTCTTAAGGAAGGACAATGGCAGATTGCCAAGCTCTATTGCCATCAAATCAGCAGCACTGGCTCTAGGTGTATTCATCTCCTTCAGCTTTGCATGATTAAAACAAGTGCCTCTACTTTAATTTTCTCTTTTAGTTGGAAGAGAAGAATTATTCTTCAACATGCCAATTTATTGTAATGTTTATATTCTAGTGAGTTAAGATGTAATTCTAGCAACTGTAAGGTTCTTTTTTTAACAACAACGTCACATGTTCGAGTCTGAAAATAGTTTTTTTTATAAAAATATAAGGGTAAAACTGTGTACAATTAATCTTCATTTCTACCTTCGTTAGTTGGAGAGTCTTATGTATTGAGATTTTCCCTTTGCCCTTATAAATAAGATGTAATTTTGTCATCATTTTTAACTTGGAAGATAAGGAAAATTTTAATGTTTCCCTTTTCTAATATCATCATAGCAATGATTAATTTAGAAGGGATGTTGAACCACACGAAACTGAATTGCATTTGTGCTTAATCAACTAACTCAATTTTCTTTTTTCAAGTTAAATAGACAAAAAAGATTGGTGATCGAATATTTGGTTTTCCATTTGCAAAGTTTCAAACAATGATTTGGGTAAGAGATTAATGTTTATCATGTTGTAGAAGATAATTTTATCTTTCACACACATATAAAAAAATATATGGGGCTTATGTTTTATTTTTCTGTCTCTTCTTTTCACATAGCTCCCATACACTCTTATATGTGTGTATAAGATAATTTTATCTTTTATAACATGATAAACATTAATTTCTTCGGGTAAAGTATATATTTTGTAACTTTTGCCAATGGCTTGGATTGGCTTATTCTAGGGCTAGAAAGCTTTTAATCAAAAGCTTACAAGGAGATCTTTAAAAATGAAATTTTTCTAAAATTAAGCCAATTTCCAAACACACACCAAGTCATTTTTACTTTTTTTATATATTGCATTTGATTTGTGACACATTACCCTATGAAATTTGGATAAAAAGTGAAAAACATTATATTATATCATGGGTTTTATGTTTGTTATGTTATATGATGTAACATAACTTTCTTACACACACAATTTTATGTGGGTCACATCCCATGATTTTTCTCTATCCTTTCTTTTCTCTCCTATCTCTTCTCAATTGTGTGTGTAGGAAAGTTATGTTATATCATGTAACATAACAAACATAAAACCCTTATATCATATTCACCCAACTAGAGGGGCGAAGTTTGTTATACAAAACCATATGTTGAGAATGTTAGAAGCAGACACTTGGTCCAAGTGAAGCTCTCTTGTCATATACAAAAGTAGTTAAAATCGAGATTTTACGTAAAATAAAAAGAGGTTAAAAAATCGTAAAACGTAAAATTATAATGTAAAAAAATCATTAAAAATTATAAAAACGTAAAATTGTTTGGAATATAGTAAAATCATTTTGATGAATTTTTTTTTTTGTAAAAACATAAAATCGTAGTAATAAATTGAGATTTTAACTACCATGTTCATATACACCGTAAAGTTAGCAAACAACCCAAACACTGCCAACCTCTCAAACGTTTCATTCCATGCAATACTAACCCCAACCCAAAAAAATAAAAAGAAAAAGCATTGGTAATTTAGCTTTGTTTGTGAAATAATCACATGATTTTATGGAGAATAAAAGTCTACTTAGAAAATAGAAATAGACCTAAAATATAAAGCATGGCCTTCCATCCTCCAAATTGCTTCTTGGGGTTGTGGATTGGTTCCTTTTCTGCTGGTGAACTTGAAGAAATGCATCTTTTGAAGTTTAGAAGCGACCAAGAAGAGGCATAAGCAGATTGCTTGGTCTCCTTAACCTCTACATCCAACATCTTCTCACAATTACTTGTTTGTCTTTCTAGCTATATACTAATTAAAGTGCTCCCCACTAAATGTATCTTGTTTTGTTATCTTAAGGCATAAGGCTATATGTGTTAAGTGTTGGAGGTGTTTGAGCTATGATACAAGGTAAACAAAGATTATTTTGTCTAATTCGGCCAATTCCAACACGCTTTCTAATTTCTGGCTTAGGAATGCACTCCATTATTGGTATTGGTAAGAATGTCTTATGCTGGTTTCACCGAAAACAGTTATCCTGTGAACAAGCCCACAATTCTATCTGACCCATTTACCCGAGAAGAAGAAAGGACATTTAGGGGGTGTTTGTTACGTGAGTTCTCTAAATTTTCCCAGCGAAGTGCATATGGCATTCTCTATTCTCCCCATTTGGAAGAAAGATTTCATGACTTTTATCCATCAAACACACTTGCCTATCTAATTACAAATGCGTGTAAAAAATGTACAAATATACTGTTAACGAATGCAACTTCCAACGTGGTATTTCTGTGAAAACCGGAGAAATGGAAAAAATGGATGAAAACGGTGACAAAAATACCCCTCTTCTTAACCACATGTGAGCAGAGTATCCTAGGACGACCCCAAACCTTGATTACATCTCTGCCAAATATCATATTCGATTCGGTGCTGTTCTGAAACCCAAACCGAAGAATGACTGAAGAAACCTAGATGGTTATGATGGGAGGTCAGGTAACGGTAATCAAACTCGGTTTTGAATAAACTTTTGTCTCCAATTTGTGTATATTTTGACATTTTCAAGAAAATGAGTGAAAAAATGGCCCTTGGAGATATGTTAACTGACACGTGACCCTGTATTTGGAAGCACGTTCCATTGGCGTAGCTGGTCGGTAACAGACTCCCGTGAACAGGATCTACCGCGTCGGAGAAGTTGGTGGTTTCAAGACCTGCTGATTTGGTGCGGTACAACCAAGGGTGAGATATTAAGGGTCCTGTTGTTTTGGCCAGTCTTGGTCACACTTTTTCGGTAAGTCTATACACAGCTGTTCGACTCATCCTTTCTGTATATGTACTTGTTCATTATTGCAAACACTATTTTGAACAGTGGCTAGACACCATTGTATGGATGTGGTTGTGCATGTGATTAGGAAAGTAACAATATTAATGAAATTATGTGCTGCTTTGTAATTATTTATGCGAGTGGTCCAAGATCTCTGAGGGACCAGATGACAGCACAATGTGATCCAAAAGGGATTTTTAAAAGAACATAGTAACACAAACAAAATCAAAAGTAACTTGACAAAGTTTTGACCTCCTTCCGGACACAGTTATTCCTTGGGAATGTGGTGGATAATGGTGTTTGGTTTTATTAAGCAACTATTTGTAACCGTCATTGGTCAACATTGGACCCATTTTGTTCTCTGTTTTGTGCCTGCATGTAGGCCTTATGTATGGTGTAGGTGTAGTCATGATGTACTCCCAGGAAGGCTTTGTTGAAAGCACGTGAACTAAGTGATAGGAATTTTATTAAGCATGAATTTTTTTAAGCAACTTCTAACAACATCGTAATATAGCTTAATGCAGTGTTAAGTCCCAGTGGGTTTGAAGTTTAATCTTAGTAAAAAAAGCATTTTCAATCATTTCCAAGTTTGATCTTAAATTGTGGTGAAATATTATGTGATCCATTTGGCTATGGGAAGGTTTAAACATGAAAATCAGCAACAAAATCTATTCAGGCCAGATGTATGGAACAAAAGGTATATGCATGCATTAACTACAAAGTCAATGGTACTTTTTAAAGTTATTGACTCACCAACAGTAATTGACTAGTGTAATGATTTAATTCATTCCCAACAAGGTGAGTAGGTATGCTTTTAGGGTTATAAATTACAGGGATGTTTCATCAGGTTCGAGTTCCTCAATCACAATTTAATAAGTTATGTATCTAAAGATATATTAATTTGTCAAACTCCTCCCAAAAACCTACTTTCTTCATTATTACATTTTTGACAAGATACACAACAAAACCTTTCATGAGTGACATATGTCTTTTCACTTATGTTCAATTGGCAGAAAAATTATACATGTGGGTAACCTAAAAGATGGGTATACATATACATTGTAATTGTTATCCACAAACCATGTACATCACGAAGTACCAAACACATTTGGTATGGAGTTAAAAATATACATCTGACAAACTCAGTCAATGTGTTTGAGTTATAGGATTGCATTGAAAATCTCATCCATGAACTAGTAACAATAATTGTTTATTCCCTTGTACCAAACCTATGTAAAGTTGTATTTTTACCCCTGTAACATTATATCTCCACATTACAGAAATATATGAAGTGTTTAGCTGCAATTTCCTTTGTTTCCTGAGCATGGCATTATGAGAGAGTGAGTATACAATGGTCATTTTCTATACTGACCAGGATGATTCCAATATCTTATGTTCACTTTAATTTATCAATTTCACGGGTGAAGAGCATCACATTGTTGACCATTGATAGGGAATGCCAAATTAATGCTTCTTCTATGTATTAGGTTCTTCAACACACACTTTCAATTCTTATAACAATTCCTTTGGTTTAGGGTTATAATCATATATTCTACACCAACTGTTAAGTATCAACACTTTATGTTATAGTTGACATCTGAATTTTTTTGTTATTTTGCGTGTTAGATTGTGGCAATGAACAATGGAATGAAGGTTAGTGTCGTTGTTGTACTCATTGCTCATCTGCAGTGTATGCAACAATTGATTTTGTTGTTATTCGGTATTTGTGTTTTGTTATTACGCCATAACGAAAACAGGAGAAATAAAAGGAGGACAGTATCTTGGGATTTCTTTAGGAGGGCTAGGGTTAGGGAAATCAATTTCCATAGAATAGTTCATCTAAGTGACAAAGTTTGTATCGAGAATACAAGGATGGATAGAAGGTCTTTCTATAAATTGTGTGAGTTGGTGAAAACTCTTGGGGGGCTGGAGCCAACTAGGAATATGGGTGTGGAAGAGATGGCCTCAATATTTCTTCATATTTTGACCCACGATGTGAAGAATAGGATAATAAAAAGACAGTTCATGCGATCTGGTGAAACAATAAGTAGACAGTTCTCCAAAGTGTTGCTAGCAATCTTACGATGTCATACTGTTTTATTTAAACGACCTGAACCAGTTCTAGAGAACTCGACTGATGACAAGTGTAAGTGGTTCAAGGTCAGATATTGTATTACGTATTTTTACATTTAAACTTGGATAAGTTGATGTGCATGTATTTGTGGTTTGGTTACTAATTTTTTAGCTGGTGAATTATTAGAATTATTTGGGAGCACTAGATGGGACACACATCAAGATCAACCCCTTGCAAGCCGACAAGGCTAGATACCGCACTAGGAAGGGTGAGATAGAAACCAATGTGTTGGGGGTTTGTTCTCAAGATGGTCAGTTTATTTATGTTTTGCCTAGATGGGAGGGTTCGGCTACGGACTCAAGGGTACTCAGAGATGCCATATCTCGTCCGAATGGTTTAAGGGTCCCGAAAGGTAATTACAAAAATTTGTAAAATTTCGTAGTTTAATTTAAGTTTTTTTATGTACTATTATTTCCTATTCTGAATATTTTTTGTTACTTATTTCTGTTTCAGGTTACTATTACTTGTGTGATGCTGGTTACAAGAATGGAGAAGGTTTCCTTACACCGTACAAGGGACAAAGATATCATCTGAGTGAATGGAGACATGGGGCACATCCAAGAACCCCGCAAGAATTCTTTAATATGAAGCACTCTTTTGCAAAGAATGTGATAGAACGGTGCTTTGGAATGCTGAAAGGTCATTGGGCAATTGTGAGATCAAAGTCATTCTATCCGGTTAAAACTCAATGCAGAATTATTATCGCATATTGCTTGCTTCATAATCATATACGAAGAGAAATGACTGTGGATCCTCCAGACGATCAAGAAGTTGATCAAATGCAGCAAGCTGAAGATGATATGGGAGGAAATGATTTGATTACTCACGTAGAGTCTTCTAATGCATGGACTCTTTTGAGGGACCAAATGGCGAATCACATGTTTAACACATGGAGGAGTCGCAACTGATTTCGAATTCGTTATAATGTTTAGTTTTCCGTAATGGTGTATGTTTATTCAGTGTCATATGTGGACATCAAAATACTTGAAAGGAAGTTCTGTTTATCTTGTAATGTTATGTACTAGACTGCGTATTTAACTTTATCGTACTGTCACATGTTCAAATGTTTTTTGCCATGATCTGTCACAGAAAATTCCAATATCTTCCATGTCATCATAACTTGCTTTAGTTATTGCATTATATTCACCAATATGTTTCATCATTGTTTTTAGATTTTAGCAGATATAGAAATTCCACATGTCAGACATCATGGCTGAAGACAGTTAGCAGTCAACTAAACGATCTAATCATACATGGACTGCAGAAGAGGATAAAGTCCTCGTAGATTGCCTTACTGAAATAGAAGTATGTTGGAAAGGAGATAATGAGTTTAGGCCCGATTTTTCCAGTGCTTTAGAGAAGATGATGCATCGCAAGATACCAAGATGTTCTTTGCGAGCTAGTCCTCACATAGTATCAATGGTTAAATTGTTGAAGAAACATTATAATGCAATCGCTGAAATGGTGGGACGGTTGGAATGATGCCATGAAAATGATAGATGTTGAGAGGGAAATATTCAATGAATGAGTTAAGGTAAAAACAAATCCAGTATTAGTCATTCTTGTATACTTTGCATGTTGATTTCATTCACACTAACAAATACTGATTCATGCATGTTGATAATTTGTGTAGACACAACCCAATGCTAAAGGACTTTTCAACAAGCCATTCCCACATTATGATGTTTTGGGATCTATCTTTGGTAAGGATGTAGCTACAGGACTAAATGCTGAGGGCACAGAAGAAGCTGTCCATGAAATGGAACGAGATACTGCCTTATATGAAGACAGTGGGACCCCTTACGATGAATACCTAGACCTCACGGGCAACTATATACCTAATCCTCTAGATGATCCTCCCATGCCTGACAACCCAGCCGAAGAGGCTGTGCCCCCTCTTCTATATCTACTGTTACTGCGAGAAATGGCAAAAAAAGGCTTAGGAGTGAAAATCCTTTCATAGTTGAAGTTGTTGATGTCATGAAAGATCTAACTCACACATATCGAAAATCTATTGACAACATTGACAAATTGGTGTCCTCCTTTCAACATCAAGCTGACAGAAGCAACAAGCGCATGTCAATTATGGATAAGCTCGAAAAATTTGATGAACTAACTGTGCCTCAGAGGGTTCATATAGTTGTGCAATTAGGTAGGGATAGTAACATGATTGATATATTCATGCAATGCAAAGAGGAGGCGAGAAAGTGCCTATTGGCTGGGTTGTTGGCTAATTTTCAGTGATTATGACAAGTAAATATTTTTTGAAGTGTATGTAGGTGAATGGTTGCTATGCTACTGCCACTTTTTGGTGTGACTGTTATGATTTTTTGGATTATGTAAATAGGACATAGTTAATGTTTTAGACTAAAAGCAACTATAGAATCATCAGGGAAACATGAATATAAAGCTTTTGATATTTTTTGTGTGTATTTTGGTGTTGTATTGTCTCCTATGTGGCTGCATTTTGGACATGTTAAACTGGTCACATTATGAATGTCATTATACTTCCATTATCAGTTACAATTCTGTTTTCAATTGTGGCTAGTTGACATAAGATAGGCCAATTTCCATACAAATTATGCTATATGATTCTTCTACAGCAGATACAGGTATGCTTTGACACTGTAAGATTGTGGCTATGTATCATGTGGCATTGGACATAACCGGGTAGGCTTAATTTGTTTAAATCATTCTTTCAATACTTAATACATATGTGTGCTGTCGTTCAATCGTGTGAGTTATATGAATATTCACAAAGCACTCATCAAAGGATAGATTTACATGGACAATTGTATCTTAAATTTTGGGTATGCATTTATGTTGGATCAGTTGCAATCATTGTAGGAGCTTAATATGTCAAAAGTTTTATAACTTTGCTTGTCAATTTGGCAGGCACTTTATGAATATTCACACTGCTCGGCAAAATCAGCAAGGACATGAGCTTGAAAGCATGTGTATCTTCGAATCAGTTGCTAGGGAAGTTGCATATGCAGATCAGTCACTTGCTATATCTTAATGTATCGACAGTGATAAAGTGAAGAAAGGGTGTGAGGACAGTATCATCATGTTGGTTCATCCCTTGATATTTGAAGTTTACCTGAATGGTGGGCTTCTCATGTAATATATATTGTAATTGATCTGTCATTATAAGACATAAAATTTTGTAACTCCGAGTCAGATTGAATAATGGCCAATAAAATTGTTTCAGATTTAGAACATTAGGTTTGCTGTCCATGTAATATTGTTATCATTGGAACTTTTCTACTGTTATGAACTATTTGATTGTATTAAGGCTGTCATGGATAAATGGTTCCCATTACTTCACACTGTACATGAATTTGGAGCATAAACATTGTTGAATCTCATTTTATTAAGGGCACATTAAAACTGCGTTTTCTGTTGTCATTCTTCAGTATTTGTATATAATGAAACAACATTTTTAGTTATTGCATTAAAGTTTCATGACTTGCACTCTGATACACATGGCCATGTAGCTTGATTAGTAGTTAATAAGCAAAATGAATCAATTAAACAATTAATATAAAGCTTTCAAGTATGTTAAAAGCAAAGAGATCGACATATGAAAGGAGGTGGTGACAGATAGAGAGTGAGCATATAGCTTTTAGCATCAAAGGATCATGCTAGGAAAGAGCCAAGTGCTCACTCTCTTCTATAGAGTCCACAAACAAACCTCCATGCATAGCTTCACTCTTTCATTCAATTGTTTGTTCTAACCCTAAAGGAACCAAGGAGAGGTTTTGCTTAATATGTAAAATTTCCATTGGTATCATCATGGTACAAAATTGGATTGGAAATCTATATATATAAGAGTGGGTGAGAATAGAAGGTATCTATCTCCCAATAAGACTTTAATCCTCCTAAAGACAACTGAGGAAGTATACAACTGAAGCAAATAAATTCTCTTCCATTACATCTAATTGGCTTTTTACTCTGTCAAACTAATAACCATTACATGAAAATATATGGGGCATTGGTAGTGTGTAACACTAGACTCTTGTCAAACTGTGTACATCTAATTTATCTTATAAGGCTGTTGTTTCTTCATTGACTCTCTTAATTTCATCTCTCAGTGTCATAACTTCACAGCAACAAAATATACATTCTCAAGGTTATCTGTAGTGTCATGAAATTTAGTATACATTCTCACGGTGGGAGTGGGAAAGATAACAGTATTAATTTTAGATTGTCATGACATTTGTGAACAATGATAAAAGGTAATGACATCTTTCTCTTACTATACCAAATGATCTGTGAGCATAAAAGGCTAATAGGAAAGATACATCTTTTGTCTTACCATACATGGACTCTATCAGATCAATTGTCACAGAAATGGAAATAATACCTTTGATAATACGAAATATTACATCAAAGACTTACAGTCCAACAGCCTAAACAAGTTTACAAGTACAGAAACCTAAGGATTACATCTGCCCTATAGCAAAATAAGTGGCATACCACTACATAAGAAGTCAATAATATATTATAACAATCGTGATGATAATCCCAAATGTTATAACAATTATCATTTGCGAAATGGATAATAATTTGACAAGCTTCTCGTTCTTGATACAATTACGGCAAGCCGATTCCTCAAACCATTCAAAGAAATGGCAGTCCTCCATGGTTTGGAAGTTACGACATCCAAAAAATTGTCTTCCTGGATTTGTAACATCCAGAGCGCTGACGAGGACGGGGAGTGATCGCCGGTGCAAAGAGGCACAGACAAGGAGCGGCTCCTGATAGGCTTCCAATGGGGGTTACATGTATAAATGAATCGAATCGACACCCGAAAGAGAGGGATTCCAAAGACTGTGCAGGTATAAGACTGCACAGTTTGGGATAACTTATAAGAATTAATTGGTACTACCTATACTAACAAGATGCATCTTCTTTTCAGTAGCCCAGAACGGAAGAACTCCATAGTTAAGCGTGCTTGACTTGGAGCAATTCTGGGATGGGTGACCTCCTGAGAAGTTTTCCCGGGAAGTGTGCGAGTGAGAAAAAAGCACACTGAAAAGTCTCGTGTTAGTATGTAGGGATAGTCATTGATTCTTGAAGCGACCGGGTGTTACAAGTGGTATCAGAGCATGACCTCTCTTCCAGTACGGTGTGGTTCGAGGACGAACCAGGCGGAAGCTGGTTGGCATGTAACATCCCGAGCGCTGACGAGGGCGGGGAGTGATCGCCGGTGCAAAGAGGCACGGACAAGGAGCGGCTCCTGACAGGCTTCTAGCGGGGGTTACATGCATGAATGAATCGAATCGACACCCGAAATAGAGGGATTCCAAAGACTGTGCAGGTATGAGACTACACAGTTTGGGATAGCTTATAAGAATTAATTGGTACTACCTATACTAACAAGATGCATCTTCTTTTTGGTAGCTCGGAACGGAAGAACTCCATAGTTAAGCGTGCTTGACTTGGAGCAATTCTGTGATGGGTGACCTCCTGAGAAGTTTTCCCGGGAAGTGTACGAGTGAGGAAAAAGTACACTGAAAAGTCTCTTGTTAGTATGTGGGGATAGCCATTGATTCTTGAAGCGGTCGGGCGTTACATGATTCCTTGGCGTCTGGGACATATGCAATGCATCCGGAACTCCACAGTAGCACGTCTTCACCCTCGATGGGGATAACGACGAAGAATGCCTGGAGATCATGCTATCACAGCCACCTGTTCCAGACCCACATCCACCCATAGTTCCTTCAAACAAGTGTCAACAATTTCCACAAGAGTCTCTCCTAGTTTTGTATTGTCGTGTGTTTACTGAAACAGAGAAAGAATGAATTAAGGTTTTCACTTCACATTATACAACTCATTTTACAAAAGAATATGTCAAATTATTACTGCAACTAACGGTCTCCTGATTTCCTTCATTGTTAAACTCCATTTGGTTCATAGGTTATTTCAATGTAATTACTCAGACTTTTGTACAAAGTTTAATTTCTTAACCACCTGGAATATATACATATCTGCCCAGACAATGGTTTTTGTCAATAAACTACTTGCATATCATTTCCAATCTTAGCATACTGCTCTGAATCTCTATGTTCATTATGATGCACATTTTGGTTCCTACAAATCATCGAGGGGCTGAAAGGTGTCAGGTGGAGAATGTGATGTCAAGGGTTCGGGTTCTACATTCGTTGATTATGTGGTCTGCCCCAACAGGTGGCCATATTAACTGCACCTTAATGGAAAAATGGGTATATACTAAATAAAAAAAAAAAGAATCATTTTCACCATAAAGCAAATTAATTTAAGTGGGTAAGTGTTTACCAAAGTATTAAACCTATTATTGAGAAAGTGACTTACATTTGTTTTAGTGGAGGTTACTGAATACATTAAAAAGAAGTATCTTGTAACTGATTACTGTTGGCTATGATCAGAGAAAAAAAGGAGTTGCTGCAAACAAAAAGGTCATTTCTGTTTCTTCCCTGCATCGAATTATGAGATATTAGCATGGTTTGGTCTTTATATGGCTCTTGTACTTAACATTACACTTCTCTGACAACTTCAACATTGTGTTGTTTCACTATGAAGGGAAGGCTAATAAATCGAATAAGTTTGAGTGGTCAAAGTGAGCAATCCATTTTAGTGTTAACAAGCAAACAAAATGGTTGGTAATGGAATTCATGAGTTTTATTGTTCCAATGTATTCAGAAGTAACAAGTTTTTCTCAGGCCTTTATTCATCGAGTTTTGACTTAAACATGTGATGAATTTGGTTGAAGGTGGTGTGCTAAATGCTTTCTGCATTCAACCAATGCCAGTAACAAACACCTTTCAAAGCTTGCGGACTAACAATTTCAAACCAATTTCACACAACTTAATGAAAAAATAATAGTTAGATATTCAACTGAATATGTAAAAATTATCACCATGTACTTCCTCGTCCAGCTGCAATGCTGTTTGCTCTCCCCTCCTCTGTGTATACTTAAGCTCCAGCCAATGGTATGGGACAAGCCTACAACAACAGTGCATAATCAAGACATAGACCTCAAAAGCTTGTTTAAAAAAAAACCCACGGAATAGAAGCATGAAATCTAAGAATAAAAAAAGAATGTTGACAGCGAAGTTAACTCCATAGCCATATAAAACCATGTGCTGATGAGAAAAATAAATAACCCGAAGGATACGAAGAGAGATTATACACTCTCTGTCACGAAAACCTAACTCCAGTACAAACCCTAAGCTTGCAAGCACCGCTCCAATGCAGACCAGCGCCGTAATTTGCAAGCTTCGTTGTGGCTGTTGACTGACAAATCACTCCACAAGCTCACTCACCGTGCGGTGCTGGAGGTTGCCGCCTGGAGAGAGGACAGAGAGAGTCTCAAGACAACTTAACGGAGACGTTAATGCACATTTTGAAGACTTACTCGAAAATATATGCTGTAATGTAATGGTTGAAAATTTTATAAAAAGGTTATTTTTGTAATTTCAATCCATTTTCCTATTAAATTTATATTTTCAACCAAACATACACTCAGCATATTTAACCCAATTTTCTTAGTAATATTTTGCAGTACCAAACAAATTTTTTTAAACTTTCCTACCAAACTTACTTTCCTACGTTTTCCCTTGTATTTACATTTCTGTAGTAAAAAAAATTTCTCCTGAACCAAACACCCCAACCCAAAAAAAGAAAAAGAAAAAGTATTGGTAATTCAGCTTTGTTTGTGAAATAATCACATGATTTTATGGAGAATAAAAGTCTACTTAGAAAATAGAAATAGACCTAAAATATAAAGCATGGCCTTCCATCCTCCAAATTGCTTCTTGGGGTTGTGGATTGGTTCCTTTTCTGCTGGTGAACTTGAAGAAATGCATCTTCTGAAGTTTAGAAGCAATCAAGAAGAGGCACAAGCAGATTGCTTGGTGTCCTTAACCTCTGCATCCAACATCTTCTCACAATTACTTGTTTGTCTTTCTAGCTATAAACTAATTAAAGTGCTCCCCACTAAATGTATCTTGTTTTGTTATCTTAAGGCATAAGGCTATATGTGTTAAGGATTGGTGGGTGTTTGAGCTATGATACAAGGTAGCCAAAGACTATTTTGTTTAATTCGGCCAATTCCAATATGCTTTCTAATTTTTGGCTTGGGAATGCACTCCATTATTATTTTTTTGGAAATATTCCAATCGGTTCATTTGCTTCGCAACTAATCCGATTCTGGGCGAATCCAGGATTAAGGCTTTAAACCCCTCCCAAAGATGGTACTGGAGAGATTCGAACACATGCTCTCATCCCCACCTGCTTAGCTCCCATGCACCAACTGAGCTACCACCATTTGGTATTAGTAAGAATGTCTTATGTTGGTTTCACCGAAAACAATTATCCTGCGAACAAGTCCAGTAAATTCTATCCGACCCACTTACCCGAGAAGAAGGAAGGACATTCAAGATTTTGGCTATTATATGGTCAGGGAGCCATAACAGAAGTCATTCCCTATTCCACGATCCCTGCTCAGAAATGCATTGGCTAACCTTCGCCTGTGCTCATATCTCAATCGTTCATTTAATATTTTATAATTCTATTTTCATAATCTAAATATAATTTGTTCTATTAATTATTATTTACCTTTTGATTCATTTAATGTAAAATGGAAAAAATTTAACGGATTGATTCAACTTCTGGAGATATCAAGTCCTGCATAGGGACGTGTGTAATTTGTGTATAGGCGAATGCACACTTGTCATATATTTTTGACACCAACATCTATACGGGACACGATACGCTTACAAGTGAATCTTAAAAAATATTAAATTTTGACATGTTAGGACACGTTTTGATATTAAATAATATTTTTAATATATATAATATAATTTACATTTAATACACATATCAGCTCATTATAAGTCATATAATCAATTAATATTCAAATCTCATAATATAAATATAAAGAATTTTTTTTTCATTTTTTATTAATTTTTCAAGTCAAATTTTATCACAGAAAATATTTGATTTATAAATTAATTTTTCATGTTTAGTTAAAAAGATAAAAATAAAATAAAATTTGGATTACAAAAACATGTCGAAAAACATTAACTCTGTGTCTAAAGCATGTCAGAGTATTGACCGTGTGTCAAACGCATATCAAAATGTGTCGGTGTCTAATAGGGTTGGCAAAACGGGTCAACCCGGCCCGCCCCGTCCCAACCCGCATTCAACCCGAAAAAATGAGCCGGGTTAGTGTAACAGTCGTTACATACCGATATTGATAACATTGATTATGATATTAGGCGCAGTTACAATCACAACAATTTATTTATAAAAATGCGAGTAAACTTTTTCCTTTTTATTACGCGAGCATTTAAAACAATAATAAAGCGTAATAAATAAAAGTTGTGACTATAACTGATAACTCTTTGCGAAATAATAATATAAACTGCCTGAATATCATATAACACTCATCTCAAGTCACTAAAGGGTTCTCATAAACCCACTTAGCTTAAATCTCTCTTTTACGTTTTCTACCTATCCGAACATAGTTCGGTATTCTGGACATTATAGAAAACTCGCATGCCGAGAACCTCTCATCTCTTAATATGTTATTCTAGACTTAATCATCTTTCTAACAAGCTATCACACGAGTCATAAAGTTCTCGTTTGTTCCGGATATCACCGTTTGAATCTGGACAAGCAAATCTGCCAACCAACCTCAAACAGGGCTCCAAGCATCCCTCACTCTCTCAACGATTCTAGAAAATTCACTTCACCAATTGCTCTCAAATATTTACACAGCAAACTAGACACCTCAAGCTTCAATTTGACATATCATACACCTAATTTGACAATGAAATGAAGTGGGAATAAATTTTCCATAAACTGCCAGAGACAGCCCCATGTGCAGGGGCGTTTTAAGCAGTTCGTGCTCTCTGGCTTCTACAGGGCTGTGTACAACTCCTATTGACCTTAAATTTTGATACAAAGTATTTGATATCTCAAGACTTATAATGGTGTGTGGGTCACCCTTATTGGACTTTTGTGGAGGGAGATATGCTATCCCAAAGTTCACCCAAATTCTGCCAATTTCTATAAATTTCGCCAGAGTTTCCTTTGTTTTTTCAACCTATCCCACTTTTGTAAAAATGCATAACTATCCTCAAATGGTACCTAATAGACATGGGTGGCACTCAAGGACCAACAATTCCTTGGTGCACTTACAATCCTTCACAATTTAGATCAAAAGCTTACTTTACAATTCATCCATTTACTTTATCAAATTTTAAACCATTTCAATCACATTAATTCCTTTGCATGCATTCTTTTTGACATAAAACATAAATCATACTTTAGAATAGGCCTATTTCCCTTTCATTATATACATGCTTCAATATTACACAAAGTCTCCATAATACAAATTACATCTTCTCCAATGACATATTACAAATTTACAACTTTAATTACAACACCATAAATCTCAAATGAAACATGATAAATCATAACTAGACTTAGCCAAAAAAGTGACATGAACAAAATAACAATATGAATAGTCATAGCTCAACATAATGTTCATGTCATAAGTCTAGCCTAGGCCAAATGGCCACAAAATGCAAAATGAGTATAAGCTCTCCTGCTCAACCTACGCGCTTCTTGCCCGCCGCTCCAACACTATTGCCACTACCTGAAATAAAGTTCCCAAAACGGGATGAGATATACGAATATATCTCAGTAACCCAGAGGTTCTGAAGATTACTCCGCCCAATGGCTCACTTCGATGCATATCAATAATATAATACAACATTTAAAACGGGATAAAGCAAGGGATTTAGTGAAGTAGGGAAGCATAGGGAATAAAATATGATGAAGCTGAAATGGTCGATGCCAATACCACGCAATTCGGCTTATTGGCCTCAGCATATAGCCTACGGGTTCCAAACCAAGAAAGTGTTCCCAGAACATCAACCGAGGCACCCTCCATCCATATACACCTGAGACTTCCTAGTGTGCTCCTCTACGGATGACACACCACGACCCATGTCAACTGGAACTCCCTCATGGAGACTTATCTAGTGGAAGTTCGTAACGTCTGAAGGCAAACTGTCTACTGGCCAGAGACTCGGTACATCCTATGTACCACTAAACATATAACAATGCATGAACATGTTATACTACATTACCAACATACACCTCCAACCACTACCCTCAACGGGCATGGTGGAGCACACACGGGGATCAAGCCTTAGTACAAAGGGATTACCTAAATAATCTCCTTCTTACAGCTCCAATTCAATACGTTCCCGAGCTTGGTACAAATAGAAATGCCTACACATAGGACAATCTCAATTCAATTTCCATTCACCAATGCATATACATGATTATAAAGGAATTCATGCATCAAGTCATAATCACTTACCAAAATCCCTTTGGTCAAGGACCAAAGGCAACACACCAAGCTCAAAGCTCCGAGTTCAATTCCGTAGGAGGCAACCTATAACGATCACACAAGGATCATCAACACACGGTGTAATTTATCAAAATTACAAGCACCAAAATCTCACCCTCCCCACAAGCTAGGTTTGGTCATATTAGGCAAAATTTACAATTTATTTTTCTTAATTTAATTTTAATTTTCCAATAGCATTCCAAGGTTATCACAACACATCAATTACATAATATTTTTGCATCATCCAACCTCAAATACCCTCAAATGGCCGAATTCATCAAGTCCCCTAACCAAGGGTATTCAATCCAATTTCACAATCTCCCACACCTTATAATTCTATATTTAACTCATACAATTATTCCACAACACAATTACACAATCACCACACAATTATATTTCACAAAGTGTTGGATCATCAACACTAAAAAAATTGGTTAAGTTACCAATGAAATCATCAATAAATTTTTTGACAACAATCACTCTAAAACATCATTCTAAGCCACATTTGTCTAATACACAATTTCAATTTGAGCTTTTTAACTACATCAATTTATACAAACCACTCTTAGGTCACCAAACTCAATCAAATTCAAAACTACAAATGGATGTGAATGCTTACCACCAATCAACTCCTAGGCAACCCAAGAGTGAGTTTCAACCTTTGAACGGTCCAAAACCACCACCAAACCACCCCCAAAAATGCCGCCCAAAGGAGGGAGATGATCTCCTCTATCACTCAATTTCGTGGCTCACTCAAGGAAGGAAAGATGATCACAAGCTAATTTGGAGCAACTTTCATGTTCAACATTTTTGGATTTGAGTGAGATTTGGATGTGTTTTGGAGAATTGAAGAAAAG